ACAGGCCTATCTTGTGTTTTCCTTTTTTCCAATGCAGTTTCTTGAACAACAACAACATAAAGAACTTGTCCTCTGACCAATTACCACGTATATATCGGCGGGCGAAAGGATTTAAAAACATGTAAGTTCTGTGGTTTTGGAGTCTTATACCGTTTTGGATCAGTAATTCTACCAAATCTAAAGTTTTAAAATATATATTACAACATATCCTCCTCCGAGATGGTGACTCGGAACGTGAACAATTTTGTATTGTCGATTCTAAGACAATTTGGGCAATTTCGATTTGAATGTACTGCTAATTCTTAAACCACTTAAATTATTGAAAAGGAGTTACGATGACTGTACATATTCAGTTGTGGTCTCCGCAGTGGGAAGGATTCATGAATTGAACCTGGTAGCGAGCGAAGTGTGCTCAGCGTAGCCTTACATACCTCGAATTAAAGAATTGGTAACTGCTGGTAACTTTGTGAGCTCTCTGACATACGTAATTAATTTTTGGTTAATACATTCTGTTCTACGTCAATCGTATTTTTAAACTGATCTGAACTTCCTGTAAAAACAAACTGAACATTGATCATTCAAATTTTGAAACAGTTTTTGCCAATGAAGAAAGGCGCGCATTATAATACTAAAAGCATCTAAAGTTTTTGACGGGAGGGCAAAGACAGTTAAAAAACAGCTAGCTCCTTTAATTGTTTTGAAGGTTTCCAAGAAAAGGAAATAAACAGGTTTTTAGATGCTTCACTGAGCCTGAGAAGTAGCTCGCTTTTGCATTCATCTTACGTTTAGTGATAAATTACAGCTTCAAGACTTATTTTGAGTCAGTTTGGTTCTTCCATTTTAGAGCAAATTCATAAAGAACTTTCAAAAACTCCAGAAAGATGCACTGTCCTATTAGAAAAGTGAGAGTGAAAAAATAAATTTCCTAAGGTTTCTCTGCACTTCGGTACCGTCGGAATAACCAAAAGGACGTCTCCTCCTCGATTTTTCTTTGAAAATAATTATTCAAAGTCTATAGTGCATCTTATTACTATTGATGTCAACTTATAATATTAAGGTGGAAGTCTATGAACCCTTCCTCAGCTGCATTGTGGTAAACGACGGTTTCCTTACAGTATTTATTTAGGATGTTTAGTTTGTGGTATAACAGGAGTTTTGACTTCTAGGGGATCTAATCCATTCTGATTCTTCTTCAAATACCAAAAACCCAATG